TCAATGTATACTGCCTCTCGATTGCATACAATGTTGCATCACGATAACTGTTTTCATTCTCTTGTTGATCGCGACTAATTATAAATGGCTATCGCATCCTGTAATTAGAAGCAAAGAACGCGGTAGTTATTCGTTAATTTGCGTTTGAAATGGAAATTGAGGATTTGTTTATAGTAAACCCGATTTGTGAATAACAGCCTCAAAAAGATTAAGAACCGCTGGTATACAGCAACATCTGTTACGTGTGATATCGCTTTCCAACAGCACCATCAAAGTCGCATCCAGGACATGAGCAAGAATACTTTGGGCGCGGTACTTAATGAAAAAAGTCATGTCTTTTCTTTGTATTTCACTCAGATGAGCAAATCGACGTTACATATTGTTCCGAGGTACTTGTATATGTTCATTGCATAAGAGACGACGGCTTCAAAGAAGAGTGCTTGTTCTCAGATTCACTGCATACCACTATACGACTTGCGATGTGCATTAGCCGAAACCGCATCAAATATGCCAGAGACTGTTTATTCATCACCTCATGGTTTAATGCAAATTGCTCAAAAATGTGGGTTTTCTTTATTTGCATGATCGAAAGTAATTACATTCGGTATTCATTTTCCATACATTAAAGTAAAATGTGCAACAGTTATTAAGTAATTGGCTATTAAATGTGTGGCGGTAACTGCTTATAGTGAACCCGCTTTGTGCGTAACGGCTTCAAAAAGGTTGGGAATTACTGCTCTAGACCAAGTCATCGCTTCCTCACCTCTTCTTCCGTCCAAACCCCGGGTGCGCACACAACACACGATGCGGGAGTCGGTGTGCTGGCATGCGCTACAAGTAGCCCAGCCATCGGAGCGTGGTACGTGATATAATGGTGCTGAGTGGTTAACCAGCTCATTGCTCACGCGGTGTTCCCACCTTCATTTCTAACAATGTCAATCATACTCCTATTTTATTTTCTGTTTTCCCTCACTTATTAGTGTTCCTTCATTAAAATGACCTCCCTTCGTCTTTACCTTCCATTGTCCTCCGATTTCTTTCATGCTTCACGTGACGGGCACAATAGGGCATGCTAGTGCAGGAAGCGTCGACAGTACTCGGTTGACTAGGGTGTGGTTCGGATGTTTCGTTTCGGATCCATCAATACCTCATAGCAACGAGACTGGACCTTAACGCGGTGCGACGGTTTGCGTACCTCATTGACCCATTGAGCTAAACTGGGTGATGCCTCCGAGCATTTTGAGAGCTACTCCTACCAGGTTGGTCAATGGTGAGAGGTCAGACAAACTCAGTGTCCTGGTCCTCCAGGTTGGGGGTTTGAAATGGGATGGCGTCCATTTCTGTAAAACTAAATCACTGCCACCTCCTCGCTGCCTTGCGGATAGGCTTTTGAGCCAAAGGCTTTGGATGAGGACCTTAATCGCTCTCCTGTCTAGGTCTGGGCGCCCTGGCAGTTTCCCAGCCCACATACAACCATGACATCTTCTTCGAACATAAACTTCATCCTGCATCGGCCGTCGCGCAGATTATCAAGGGTCACCTTATCTGCTGCATACAGCAGAGCGAATAAGCGAAAGCATGCTACTGCTGGCGCCTCCCTTCTTTCTTTTCCACCTTTTTCTCTTACTCCCATCCCGGCCACTATTACTAACCTTGCTTCTATAATTCCCAGCTTAATTGACAGCAACCGAAGTGCCACTGGAGTAGTACCGTCTGCAGCGACCATCCCACAGCATCTATCGGACGCCTATCGGCAAAAGTTCCTTATAAGGCCACGCTGTCCCGTTTCCATGGCGACATTCAACGTTCGCACTCTAAGACAAACAGGTCAACGGGCTGCACTCGCACGCACCTTGGCCACACTGGGTGTTGATGTGTGTTGTGTGTCCGAAACTAGGATCAGTGACCCTAACGGGGTTATTGAATTGACTGCACCCGGCTTATCCTCTCGTTATTGGTTGCACGCATCCGGAGACGCCGATGCGGCACTCACGGGTCAAGCTGGTGTAGGTATCATTCTAAGCTCCAAGGCTGAGTCACTGTTGTTTGATTGGATTCCAGTGAACAGCCGTTTATGTGCAGCCCGTTTGACGACATCAGCTAAGGTGAACTCGCGAAGTAAAACAAAACGCTGTTTGTTTGTGATTTCTGCTTATGCTCCCACCGACTGCAGTTCTAATGCAGTCAAGGACACTTTCTATCACGAACTGAACACGCTGCTACGCGGTGCTACTAGTTCAGATATTATAGTACTTGCAGGGGATATGAACGCACAAGTAGGGCGTCTGAGCTCTTCAGAAGCTCAGCTGGGTGGTAATTATGGACTTATCGCCGAACGGACTGACAACGGCGAGCGTCTCCTGCAACTGTGTGCGGAGCACCAATTGTTTCTTACTAGCACTGCTTTTAGACACAGTGGGCGCCGAAGTGCCACTTGGCGTCCACCTGTAGCTGGCCAGCGACGGACCCAAATTGACCACATAGCCATAAGTTACAAATGGCGTGGTTCCATTCTGGATTGCCGCTCGTACTGGAGTACCTGTGTCGACTCTGACCATGCCTTGGTGCGCTGTCGTTTCTCCATGAACTGTACCGGAAGTCGCACAAAGCGTCCCCTACGATTGGCAACGGAGAAATGGTCCCAGCCCTCTGTCGGGCAAGCCTATCAAGAAGCACTGTATAGAGAACTCTCGCTGTATTGTCCCAATGACACTGAGCTTCAATGGAATAGGATCACGTCCGCCATGCACGACGCAGGAGCATCTGCTTGTGGCACTATCCATCAGTCGTCATCGCACCAGTCACTGGATATCCGAGAGGTCCGTGAACCTTTTGGAAGCTAGAAGGCACCTCCCGGCTGGTTCTGAACACAATGTGACCAGACGGGCTATTAGGCGTGAACTAAAGCGGAGCCTATGTGCTGACATGGAGGCTCAAGAAATGGAGGAGGGAGGAGCAGTAGGCAATTACCGGAAGCTCTTCCAGCTAATACGCACCACTGGTCCGAGAAAACCAGGCGTCAGTGAGGCAATCAGGGACAGCGCGGGTGCGCTGATACACAATAATGAGCGCCGTATGGCTCGTTGGGCTGAACACTTTGAAGATCAGTTCAGCTGGCCCCCTGCTCCCGGACCTCTTCCTACTCAGGTGATGCAGGACGTGCCATGGACGGTTAGTTTAGAGCCTCCGTCTGAGGCCGAGGTCCGAAACGCGATCACAGCCCTCAATGGTTTTCGTGCCGCTGGCCCGGATTTCCTCCCACCTGCGCTATTTAAGGATGGAGGGAGGTGAGGTCCTCTGCAAAGCACTGACCTCCCTATTCGAACGTATCTGGAACGAAGAGAGTGTGCCGGCCAATTGGAGCGAATCGATTATAGTGGCAATATACAAGAAGGGCAGTCGCACAGACTGTTCTAACCACCGGGGTATTAGCCTAACGCCAGTCGTGACAAAATTACTGGCCTCGATTATTGTTCGTCGCCTCACTGCAGAACGGGAATCTTGGATTAGGGAAGAGCAGGCCGGTTTTCGCCCAGGACGTGACTGTATAGACCATATATTTACTTTGCGGCAGGTGCTAGAGCAGCGCCACGCATACCGCAGACCGACAATAGCTGTGTTCCTCGATTTCAAGAGTGCGTTCGATTCAGTCGATCGATCGATTCTGTTCGAAATACTTGCGCGGAAAGGTGTTCCCACGAAATATGTGAACATCCTTCGTGCTCTATACTCGAACACTAGAGGCCGCGTCAGGGTCTATGGTGCCCTATCGGATAGCTTTTCGACTACAAGTGGCGTTCGACAGGGTTGTCCGATTTCCCCGTTTTTGTTCAATTTCGTCGTGGATTCTATCATGGAGTGTTCCCTTGCGGAATCTCATGATGTAGGTGTTGAAGTGCTGCCTGGTGAACGGTTAGTTGATCTAGATTACGCGGACCATATCGTCTTGCTTTTCGACAATGTTGAGGCGGCACAATCAACCCTGAATAGCCTATCCAGAGTGGTCCCATTATTTGGTATGCACTTCGCACCTTCAAAGTGCAAAGTGTTGCTGCAGGACCACCAGCCACTCGATGACCCCTTGACGCTTGCTAACGAGGAACTCGAGGTGGTTGATCAATCCACTTATCTTGGCAGCTGCATCAGCAATGATGGGCGCATAGAAACTGATGTGAGCTCACGCATTGCAAAAGTCAGAGCTGCCTTCTTGAACCTGCGTCATCTTTGGCGACAGAAGGGAGTTTCCCTCCGTCTGAAAGACCGTGTATACAAGGCCACAGTGAGGGCCGTTCTGCTGTATGGTAGTGAAACTTGGCCCCTTCCGTCTGAAGATCTGAGGCGCCTTCAAGTCTTTGATCATCGTTGTTTGCGAAGCATTGCTGGTGTCGGATGGCACCAGCGTGTCCGCAACGATGATGTGCGTAGGCGAGTACTAGGTGGTGATGATCATGCTAGCTCCCTGGAACAACAGATAGCACTGAATAAGTTGCGTTGGCTCGGGCACTTGCTAGGTATGCCTGGTCACCGCTTACCTAGGAGGGCCTTGTTCAGTCTACCAGGTGTAGGATGGCGCAAGGCTCGAGGTGGACAGAAGTTGACTTGGCAGCGGGAAATGAAGTCACTGACGACCAAACTGGGTGCCGTTGGTCCGCCTCGCCTTCCGGGTTGGAGTCCACGTGACTCACCTTGTGCTTGGCTCGAGACTTTACAGGACATGGCTTGTAGTCGACACTAGTGGCGCGTCTGCTGCCGTCTCCTAATCGGATTGTCTGTTTAAAGTGTGTTCGGTGCTGAGTTATCTGCGGGATAATGGCTGATTATGACGCGTGGCAGTGAAAGCCGCAAGGAATCTGTCTCGCCGATGCCGCCTTATCTTTGCACGATAGCCAGCTGTTTGTGACGGTATGTTGTGAACACAAGGTGTAGGCGCCTTGACCGTGAATGTTTGCTTAGTGCATTAAGGTTTTCAGGTAAGTCCCCCTTCTCTCCGTCTTCTTATTCTTTATTTCATAGGTCCTCATGGTTGTATGGCAGCGAAGCATCAGTTCAGATGGCTGATGTACTGCTGTTGATGATGATGAATACCTCATAGCACCTTATCGATTCATGGCTCAATGATCTGTTCATGAAGGCACACTCATGGAATTTTCTTATTGTCACAGTCCCATTCGAACTTGAGCTTATCTGCTTTTTGGGTTTTACACTGCTCTATTCCACTTTAGGCTACGATATACTTCGGCATATACACCTCGGTCATTCCGATCACCTTGACTTCTTCTTAGCAACGTCCAAAAGTCTGTTAACTACCTGTGTCAGTTTAAGTGAACCTGCTTACTCTTGTTCGCTTTTTCCCCACGCTTCCGAGTATCACAAATTCTGGTCTGCACCTACCGTCTCTTTCCTCTGGTTCCCTCTATCCCTTAATCAAGTAAACGTCTGATCACCTTGCTTATTCTAGAAAGTTCTTATTGATTCAGCTGCTTTTGGGTTTTTTACTCATCCACGGCATTTACGCATGACCGAAGGTAGTCTCACGGCCTTTCTAGTAAGTTGTTCTGTCTTTTTGGTTACCAATAACTTTTTGTACGAAGGCTGGAGCCGCTGCTGGTTTATCTGTCGACATCAGTCTCTTCCCAATTGATACAATCAAAACCCGTGTACAGAGCGCCCAACACGGCACTCAAGTGGTGCCTACGCCTCTTCGACTGTTTGCTGGTTTACCGGCAGTTCTAGTGGGCTCAGCACCTGGCGGTTGGTGATTTGTTCTCGGCACATTCTAACCAGCTTTTTTGCAGCCGCCATCTTTTTCTTGACATATGAAGCGGTCAAATTTGGCACCCACTCTTCAGGATGGAGACCAATATATTCTTGCACTCTAGCAGCTTGTATCGCTGAAGTGGCAAGTATTTCTATTTGTCCACGAACTGAACCCCACCGCTCATAGACGGCGTGTGTTGTCCGTGTGCCGTGCGAAGTATTGAAACAACGAGCTCAGAGTTCTCACGCCTCTATTCGAACTATCTTCTCGGGAACTTTGGGCGCTGAAGTGAGTCCATTTTAGTTGATGCATAACTTATTGCGTTACAGCCAATGTATTTTACTGACTATTGCAGGTGTGCGCCTCGTCTTAGCTTAACTTTACTTGACTTAAGTGCTTTCCTACTTCTGACCAATAATTTACTTCCTTCGACCGGGGCTCATTGATCATTCATCCTCTTCATATATACTTGCGTACACAGATCACACTGTGCTATGCCTTCGCTTGCATTCACTTTTTAGGTATTCGCTCATCTCCGATTACTTTTTGACTGTATGCCTTCACCATCACCGTTTCTCACTCCTTACTCACCCTGGTTTATTCAGTTCATTAATTAATTTGGTTTGTCTACTCGCTAACACCAATTTCACTTATTGTCGTTAAAGTCGGTTTACCGCCTAGGGAAACTTAACCTGTTTCAGCGGCTCGCGTGCCTCGATCCACAGTATATATTGAGTATTATCATTGAGCCCACTGAGAGTTACCATCATCAGCAAATTAATCAGTAGTTACAAATCGAGCAAACTTAGTCCCCCTTTTTATTTAATTTAGGAGCTAAAACTAGGGTTCTTAGGACCAGTACATACTGCTCCGAGACAGTGCGCGTAATTGAGCGTGCATATCAGGAAGCAGTTGAATTCGGACACAGCGGGATATATTTGATGGGCTACGAAAAGACGTGAACGGATGAAGGGAGACAGGAGCAAACGTTAGCGCGACAACTTATATCGCGGCTGAGTGTCGAGCCGGATGTACATCAATTTGGCTGTAACATGAGGGAGATTAAAATGCGATAATGTACAATTGATCATCAATGAAAATGTACTCAAAATATAGTAGTTATCTTTTGGGGCGGTACAAATATCCCCCGCTAGAAGACTGAACAAAGGGATCCTTCAGTGTCGAATATGATGGGTGAATCGAGGTTTGTTGAACAAAATCGTTCCGAGTAGGAATGAGCGAGCGTTCGTGTCAAATTCTGGTTCGCCCAGAAATCGGAGTTCACTGTGCCGTTTGTTATTTATTACTTCTTGATTGCAGGGTAGGGTGCATTTCGGCGAGCCGTTGGAGGGGGCTTATCGGACTTCAACAAAACTGGCTAGCCCAGACAAGGGGCAACCAGAACCTCACTCTCCGTTGCTGCCAAACGGCGCACTTGAGAGTGGTATCTCCCTCGCCGCCCCCCACCCAGCGCCAAAACGACTCTCGCCCCACGAAGAAAGCCCACGTTCGCATCCGGCTCCGCGTTGACTGCGGTGATCCTGCAAAACGTTGCTCGTGTGGTCCATTCACTCGAAGGGAAGATAGGTTCATATATGAAGAAGGGAAGAAAAACGCACGCAGAAAATCGGAAACGATAAAAAGTACACTATGTGCAACACACTTTAGCTTTTAGGGTTTTGATTTTTTAGCTTTTCAAAAGCTTCCGATTATTTTTTGGGCTTTTTAAAACCTTCTACCAAAAGGTTGGAGTGATCATATACGATATTTACAAACCTAAATGTATTTACACTGTACATAGCCGGAAAAACGAACAGGCTTACGGACTTCCCGACCACGTCGATTGGTTGCGGAAGGCGACAAGCTAGGTTTGAGAGAGATCGGGACGGCCGATGCTTGTAGACCGAGATCCTGGTCTGGTTCGACGACACTAGGATGCTGAAAGTTGGTGCGGTGAGTTGTGACATCCTACGAAGCATTTCTAAATGAAGTAGGAGAGGTGGCTTCTTCCATACAGACACGCTTTAGACTTTCGATGGTGATGATTTCGCTACCGCGATCGATATTGTATGTCTTATTGGTATGATGTAATGCCTATGTACGACGACTGAAGAGGCTTTCGAACACCGTCTGCACAATGAAGGATGTGTGAACACGTAGACTGCTTCTCGGGCACGTACACTGGTGTCGATCGAGGAGCAGGCGGACATAGCTCGTGCATCTGCTAAGCCAGTCGGTCTGTGTAACTTCCTTCGTCAAATGAGTTATTAGACGGAGCTGGTGCCACCGGTTGTCCAGACAAACGTAGCGTGCAATCGTAGACTTGCTGCACTGGCGTTGTGTCGAACTCGGTCTTGAAAGTGCTTTTTAAGCCTAGGAGGACGAGAGGAAGTGTATCGGACCATGAAGGATCTGTGTGCGCACGTAGCGCTGGCGGTGAAAACGCTCCACCATACCATTAACGGCCGGATGATACGCTGTCGTCTGGACCTGTCCTTAAACAACGTGGCAAAAATGAAAGAGAAATGCGACCCTCGATCGGTGATCACGTTGGGGTCACCAATTTGTAGGATTAGTAAATACTAGTCCGAGACGGTGGGCGTAATCGAGCGCAGATATCTGAAGGCAATTGAAGTCGGACACAGCGGGATTTATTCGATGGGCTACAGCAAGACATGGACGGATGAAGCGAGAATAACTTACAGTTGGTCATCAGTGAAATTGTATACAGAGGATAGTACTTATCTTTTGGGGCGTTGCGGGTTGTATCTTTTTTCATTTATATTATTTACACGACCTCGCGTTTGGGATTTTGGGCCGAAAACCTGTTGTAAACTCCGCTTTTTTCTCTAGGTTTGAGCATTATGTTAATATACCAACGTACACAACGCATCAGCAGTATCACCGCTTCGCTGCCGCGCAACCACCACCAGTCGCACGTGTGTTAATGATACTGCGAAGGTCGCCTGGTCCGTAGGCAGGCTCAAACTCTCGTCCTCGGATTACAAAGAAGACTTGCAATTGCCGATCCGGAAAAGCACCAGACGCGCGTTTCGCCCTATCGGGGCTCGTCAGTGGTGCGCATTCATCGGTCCCCTACTGGGAATCGAACCTATGACCGCTAGAGGCTAATGCCAACTAGCCAGCAGCTTATGCCACTGTGCCATGGGGGACGACAGCCGGCCATTGCGAATTGTAACCTAACTGCGATATAGCCTGACCCATCCTCCACTACCGTGCAGGTTATTGGCAATGCAGAGGACAGTGCTTGGCCGCCACGGTCAGGTCTTCCCTTGCCAGCGCCGTGAATTCACACAGCAATTTTGAATACTGGTAAGACTTAGTGGCATAAGCTGATGGTTAGTTGGCGTTAACCTCTAGCGGTCATGGGTTCGATCCCCAGTAGGTGACCGATGGATGCGCACCACTGACGAGCCCCAGTAGGGCGAAACGCGCGTCTGATGCTTTTCCGGTTTGGTAGCTTACCTATGCGGCTTGAAATCTAATTGCGACGAACCAAACCGAATCATACCCAAATCCGTATACTCATTAAGTTTGCAATTGTTTGCTTAAACCTCAGTGTCATCTCCCAAAACCTAGTGGTTTCATCATACATTGTCTTTGAAAACAGCCGTTGCTCTTGGTAACCATCATAAGTTATTTCCATCCAATTTGTGAAACGGACAGAGGGGGACGTGATGTTAACGATGCTATATGTGGCGAGAGTTTATAGCCTATCCGCAACTTTTCCAAACATTTGGAGTGTTGGGATGAACACCTTGAAAAGCAATTTAACCGACTAAATTACCAGATTCGCTGGCGGCCAGTGGTAGGCCAGCTCCGTGGGGCGTCCATTTGGTCCACTCTCTCGCGCAGTGGTCAAACGTGGCATCAGACTACTGAAGCTGATTAAGGCCTACAGGACTAGACGGGCTTCCTCCATCCCTCTTCAATTGCGGAGTACCAACTCATGTGGGTGATTTGCACGATTTACTAGTGAAACTACGGGAGCAGAAAAATATCCCAACCGACTAAAGCTGCTCCGCTATGGTCCCGGTTTTCGAAGGAAATGCATATTCGGAACGCGCCAGTCATAAAGGTATCACTCTTATCTCCATCGCCTCCAACTTCTATCATTCCTCACAGGTTTACTGACACCCATGGAAGTCGGATTCGTGAAGTGGTGGTGGAGCTTCGTGGAAACCGAGACTACATTTTTCACATCTTCACTTTGTGCTAGTTAGGAGCACTACTGCTTATGCTGGCGACCCATCGTAATCGTGTTCTTCGATATCAATGGTACTTTAATTTGATGAGTCAAAGTTCATTTTAAGACTAATTGTTGCGTGAACGTTATCGGAGCACTTTATACTCATAGTTCGGACAGAGTCTGTCACAGCGAGACTGAACCTTGATGTGCTGCGACGGTTTGCGTACCTCTGAGCTAGCGCATAGCTGGGTCACCTGTGAAGGCGTTTGCAAAGCGCATGCCCAGCCACCGCAGCATTTGGAGAGTCACAGTATGGATCGCTCATTGGTAAAGCTTACCCGACTGGAAACTATCGGTGAACATGCTATATATGTATGTATATGTATGCTGAGGCTAATGTGGCATTCATGATGCTTCTTCATCGCATTTAGGCTAAACCAACTTACACTTAAACTTGGTCTTTTTAAGTTGGATAAATTTCATTCCACCTTATTTGGTTTGTTCTGCCTCCCTGAATGATCTTCTGTTAACTTGCACACGTTGCTTACCTTAATTGTGGTTATCTTCGTTAACTTTGTTGCGTTTGTAGCATTTTTTAAATAACTTGTGGACATTTTGTACTTTCGCTTATTCGTTGATAACCAACTTACTTCATATGCTAATTTAGGGAAGAGTTATGTCTGCATAGCCGTATGCTTTAACAGATATATTTTATTTGTTGATATCATTACAAGTGCTTGGCTGTTGTTTGACATCCCCGGTGTGGCCACACTTGATATGCAGGTTGACAAGGTGCCTAACTGTCTGTTACCCACTACCTCGTCCATACTGGCTCCAGGAGACATTTGGTCGTTGCTGGAGAGGACGGGGTGCACGGTTCTTGTGGTCATGCTAGGCTAGAAGAGTGCTTCCATGCACTCAGTGTGGAGCGGACTACGGTCCAACCACCGGCTTGTGTGCGCTTGATTCCCCAACTACAGCGTGCTTGTGTTTTCCTGTGAAGGAGTTTGGCCCGGCTCCGTTGATGAAACGTGGTTCCCATCTGCATGCCTCCCGGTCTTATTCCTTCGGATTTACA